AAACTCTGGTGTGCTTATAAGTGGGAACTCTTTCTATCCTTCTCCAATGAGAGGTCACATCCAGCACCTGAACCTGAGACCTCCTGCAGGTGAACTTGTGTTGTTCCTCTAGCGCTTTTTATGCAACTTACTTCCTCAAGGTACATTTTGGTTGGTCTGTAGCTAGCAGATGACAAATGTCCCATAATGTGTCATCTTCCTATCTTCTGCTGTGATTGAGTGATTAGAGAGCTGCTGTGAGACCTGTGAGTTCTAGCTTTGTCCACTTTCCCCCCTCCACCAAAGCACACCTTTAGTTTCTTACATAAATGCAAGAAGTGAGTTTGGCTTTAATTTTATCATTCTTCCTAGCCGGGTTTGAATTCACATTGCCTGTTTTCCATACTTTTGCTCTGATTAGTAAACTAGCGATGTTTGCTCCCATGAGAATGTAGTTGTGGCTTCCTTCATTGTCTGTCCTCATTCCACCCTTGTCCTGTCAGCTTTCTCCCCAGATGGTTGTTGCTTCCCCAGGGGGACTTGAACCCTGACCCAGAAAGCCAGTATTTGCTATAACATGAAAACACTGAAATACTCAGTTGGCTAATGAAACTGATTAATCTGCTACAGAAGACTGATTTACCTCCCCAGTGGGATCTCAGCTCTTGAATTATGGCAAACCTTTGTATCTTATCATTCCACAAAACTCTGAGAGCTCATTTATATATATACTTTTGCAGAGTTTTTGGATCTGATTGTCAATAGCATCCTTTGGCTTAAGAGATATGATGCACATATTTTTCGTATTCTTTCACTGTTGTTATTGGATACCATTTTGTGGTTTCTTGGCTGCTGCTGGAAACAGGATATTGGATTAGATGAACCAGGACAGCTCTTCTTACGTTCTTAAACTCAAGGAAACTGCAAATCCCAGTAAGCGCTGCAAACGTCTGGCTCAGAGAGAAAAGCAGCACCTGTTGAGAACTGGTACTAGCCTTCCATGACAAAAGAGTGAAGTCTAACTGGGTACAGCTAACGTACATGACCTTAAAGCTCATTCAGATACCATGGACAAACTGGGGTGAGAAATGCACTCTGTATGTAAGAACGAAAGAAGAGCCCCGCTGGAGCAGGTCAAGGCCTATCTGCAGAACCTGAGTGCAACAGCACTCTTCCCACTTCTGATTCCTAGCAACTGGTAAACTGGGGCATGCTGCCTGTGGCAATGGAAAGAGACCAGAGCCATCTTGGTTAGTAACTCTTGCTAAACTTAGGCTCCATGAATTTGTCTCATCCTCTTTCAGTGCCATCCAAGTTGGTGGCCATCCCTATATCCTGTGGGAACGAATGCCATACTTTAGCCATGCACTGTGTGAAGAGTACCTCGGGTTACATACGCTTCAGGTTACAGACG